GTTTAACAAGGCTGAAACGATTCATGTGAAATGTGATTACATAGACATAATCACTCAAACATTTAGAAAAACAAAACAAATTATAACATAATCATGATTTGTGCTTCTGTGGTGTTTAATGGATGCATCCACATCAGCCCTTTGTAGGGTAAACACAGATGAAGAATGTCTGCTTCTAAATGCAGATAACCAGGTTTTATCTAGTGTTAATTATTTTAAGAAAATACCCTCCTGAACCCTGGGTAATGAAGTGATGTCTAGTTTTCCCGGGTAAAGGCAAAACAAAAACAATTATATGACGGCTGGTTATACATGATAATACACACTATTTGTTGGAAATTTAAAAAGTGAGCTGTTCAAAATATAAAGGTGATGCGCAGCATGTAGGAGTTTGGTAGTCTCTTCTTCTTTTTAGCATTTACCAGCTGTAAACTCCGTCAGAAAGTTCTTGTTATTCGCCCACTTCTGGACCACAGTCCTGTTCCAGAACTTGAGTTTTGCATGCACATCCATTTCACAGATCTGGCTTATCCCTATGCAGATAGTTGGGTCCTTGCCTCTAAGACAGATCCTAATTAGTTGAATTAGTTAACAAATTAATTGTTAGAGGGGCACTGGGTATATTCTATATTGGGGCCTTAGAAACTATAGAACAGTGAAAGTAATTCTTTACTTAACAAACCAACAGTCATTTAGCTTTATGACTATGAAATTTACATACATGTTAAGTAATAAAACAACCCCCCCCCCCCCCCCCCCCCCCCCCCCCCCCCCCCCCCCCCCCCCCCCCCCCCCCACCCCCCCCCCCCCACCCCCCCCCCCCCCCCTATGTGGCTTCTGTGTCTCATTTTGAGAGGGAGACAGGGGTGATGGGAGAAAAAAAAAATACAAATTACACCTTAACAAGCATGTCATAAGAGGTGACTAATTAGGGTTTTGCTGAAATCGTTTGTGGTGGGCTGAAAAGTGCAGATACTGTAATGTAGCTGTAAACCCCAACACAACGTTCTAATTGCCATTTTCAGGGTGACTGCAGCAGAAGAAGAAAAAGAAAAAGTAGAGGAGGAGGAAGAAGAAAAGGAGGAGGAAGAGAAAGAATAAGAAGAAGTGGTGAGAGGGAGACAGGGGTGATGGGAGAAAAAAAAATACAAATTACACCTTAACAAGCATGTCATAAGAGGTGACTAATTAGGGTTTTGCTGAAATCGTTTGTGGTGGGCTGAAAAGTGCAGATACTGTAATGAAGCTGTAAACCCCAACACAACGTTCTAATTGCCATTTTCAGGGTGACTGCAGCAGAAGAAGAAAAAGAAAAAGTAGAGGAGGAGGAGGAAGAAGAAGAAAAGGAGGAGGAAGAGAAAGAATAAGAAGAAGTGGTGGAGAAAGAAGAAGAGGAAGAAGAAGTGGAGGAGAAGGAAGAAGAAGAGGAGAAGGAAGAAGAGAAGAAAGATTAGGAAGAAAAAAAAGAAGAGGAGGAGAAGGAAGAATAAGAGGAGGAAGAAGAAGAAGACAATAAGGATCACACAGAAACATGACTGACTAAGCCAGTAAGCAGCAACTTTAAAGAAAAAATTACATATTCTAACATGTAGACATTGCATGCATATAATAAATGGCAAATATTGAAAAGTGGCATAACCATCCAAAACAAATCACAGATCACTTGAACAAAATGAAAATATTTCAAACATTTTACGGCATACAATATCACAGTTATAAGGTACACAACCCTGTGTCAATGCCACTGTGGTATATTAAGGATATGGTTCAGGGCCGAGTTTATTATTTTTCCCTTGATCAAACAGCAGGTGCCCAAAAGGTGGTGTGGTCAGCTGAATTCCCAGGAAACTGCCGGATAACAATTTTCTAAGGCCTGGTAGACCCTTAAAACCTCACGGCAATGCAAAATCCCATCTTGTGAGGGATTTGTAAGCACAGCTATAATTTTAATAATAATACTACCACTAATAATATTTATAATAATAATATACATCTCATAATTAGTGAAACAAATATTATCAGCTTAGTAATTAACATTTTTTTTTAATCTGTGATGATTCTGGGGCCCTATTGTTGGAAGGGGGGGGGGGGGGGGGGCACAGACGCATTGACCCCTTACAAGCTTGTGGTAAAAATCAACAAATTAGTGGGGTTTTTTTTTTTGAAGGTAGAGTGCATCTGCTTGAGAGGCATGCACTTGTAGTAATTTCCCCTGATCTCTGGGTAGTAAGATTGGACGCCCCTGGGTATTGTTGTGCACGTAAAAAAGTTAAAAATCTACTGAAAGTATTTCAGGATCCTCGCCGGTGCAACGGAGTTCATGCACTTCGCTGATCGTCTTCAGACTCAGGCTTGAGTTTGAAGAAAAACGGAGCACTTATGGGTTATCACCCGTGTGCCATGATGTTGATCCGTCAAATAAACATAAACATAAGCTAGATCTGTAAAACAAATGTGCACACAAATCTCATGTTGTGGAACAAGATTGAAGTCCAGTAGTTGATGACAACCAGAACTTTCCACCCGGGTTTATAGCCTGTAAACACAAAGAAGATTTCTCAAAGTTTGATTACAGGTGAGAAGATTGACTCCATTGCGCTTGGTTTTATCTCACTTGGTTCAGTCTCTCCCTAGAGCAGCTGGTCGGTCACCTACCAAGAGCATTGCACATACCATGAACTCTGTGGCTTTACTTAAAATCTCTAGGAATCTCAGAAACATGTCAGCAAACACACCCCTGAGATTGGAGCAGGGGTGGGCAAACTGTGACTGACAGGCGAAAACTGGCGCACCAACCAATTTTTACCAACCCCGAGTCTGGTGTAAAATTACAATATAATCTGGCCCTTGAACTCATAAAAAGGCAGAACAAATAATTAGCTTGAAGAGACACATTTAGGAATATATAGAAGAGCATCAGTGTGTCTGGCAAGAAGCCAAGAGAAGGATTAAAATCTTTGAACATTTCACAAAAGTATCATGTTACCAGGAAATCAAGGTGTTGTGTTTATAATGAATCTTTTCTATATGGCCTACAGGCAGGCTGGTAATTCTAAATTTGGCCTGCGGACCCAAACAGGTTGTCCACCCCTGCCTTAGAGTATGAGACAAACGGACTGACCACTTTTCCATAGAGACCTTCATCCTCACTGTAAACCCAAAAAACATATACACAGACTAAACAGATTACACCCTGACTCATTTTTTGTATCAGACAACTGACAAAATTTTCAAAAACCGTTTGGCACAACACGTTACTTAAGGAAAAAAAAGTGTTTTTCATCAGTAGCGAGTATGTTAACATATTTTCTTGACATATGAAAAACCATTTTTTTAACAGAAGGTTACACATCTGCTTAAAATTAACACATTTGATTAACATAAGAATAACATATTACTTAACAAAAATTTAATAATTTACTTAACATAAGATGCAACAGATTTGCTTAACATAAGATTAATGCATCTGCTCAATATAGGTAGGATCAGTACTAACACATTTGAGTAACACATGTGCTTAGCATAAGATTAACAGATTTGCCTAATAATTGATAAACAAAAGATTAACACATTTGTTTAACATAGGATTTAATACTTATGCTTAACACAATTATTGGTCTACCCCAAACAGTTCACCACTGTTATGAATTAGATCAGCACAACTGGTCTGCCTCAGCGCGTTCATAATTGTTATAATCTAGATCAGGCAAGAATGGACTGCAACACTAAGCATTTCACACAAATAGCTGCCCGAACCTTCATCTTTGTACAGGTCATGCAGGTGTTCAAGGGAATGAGCATGCAGACTATCTTGTTGACACTGCAGTTGCTATGGCTGGTCCAGTATTGGACAGAAGTGATGTTATCAATGCCATGTGCTGCACTTACTGTACCAAGTAGCACGCCAAAGGACATAACTCTGCATCCCTGTCTAGACTGATGGATATGGGGATGCAGCCTAGAGCAGCAATAAATGAACATTTCACTAAGGTGACAAGATGTTTCATTAACCAACAGAGAACAGGTGTCATCAGTCGTTTTACACTAGTGAAGCTTTTGAGGAGGAGATCAGAGCACCTATGGATCTGTCTGGAGTGCTGTGATGATGATCCTTTCTAACCACTAATCATTAATCTAGATCACCCCCACTGGCCTTCCTCAGCAAGCTCACCAGCATTATAACAAGCCCACCATTGCTATACAAAGTTCACTATCATTACAATGTAGAATAATACTAGCGGTCTGCCTCAACAGGTGTACCATAATTAAAACAAGTTCACCATCATTATAATCTACATCAGTGTTCCTCAACCTTTTTTACACCCACGGCCTACCAAAACAGGGCAAGACCCATCTGACAGTTAACCAAAAAGTCAAACAAAAGCCTATATAAGACAGCTGTTCATTTGTTAAATTTTATGTCAAAAAACTGTCAGCTAATGTGTCATCTGCTGCTGCTTAAAGGTTAAAAACAAATCTGACATATGTGGCAGGAGCATTGTTTCTGATAGACATTAACATCCACTTGATTTCTGTTTTTTTTTTTAAATTTTAACACAAACAGGAGGTGTGAATCCTACAAACTGAAGAGAAAAACCACCTTCCCTACTCTGTTACATGATTAAGCAGAATTTACTCGCAACCCACCTGGACTCTTCTGCAGCCCAACAGTGGGCTCAGCCCACCGGTTAAAGAACACTGATCTAGATCACCTCTGCTGGTCTGCCTCAAGAAGTTCTCCATCATATAACAATTTCTCTACCATCACAAGAAGTTCACCATCACTAAAACCACTATCGGCCTGCCTCAACAAGGTTCCCTTAATTTCAATATATATGACCTCTACTGATCTGTCTCAGCAAGTTCTCCATCATTAAAGCAATTTCACAATCATCTTACAAAATTCACCATCATTATAACATATTCATCAATTTTACAATCTAGATCACCACTAGTGGAAGGCGTCAACAAGTTTTCCATCATTACAATTTAGATGATCACTATTGATCCGCCTCAGCGAGTTCACCATCGTCATAATCCAGATCTATGTCCACACTATCAAATTCAGTAGTACCGCTTGAGTTGCTAGAGTTATCTGAGTCAGGCTTGTTCATTTCATTTTCTGGACCGACTGCACCTTCTTCAGCCACAACATCATCGCTGGCTATGTTATTTACATGAAGATGATCACTGTGCTCTGGTTGCTCGGTGTTGGATGCCAGGTCTCTGTGACACATGGGACAAGTCTCCTTGACGTACAACCACTTCCTCAAACAGACTCCATGGAAGAGATGTTCACACGGCGTCACACAGGCTGTTCTCATATCACTGTAGCAGATGGCACAAACATCATCATGTCTTCTTAATTGTTCATCTGAAGCAAGAGGAAGAGACTCCACCTTTTTAGCAGCTTCCCAGCGTAAAAGAAAGCTCTGCCATCCACTCTGAAGACGTTGCCACACATTGAAGTAACAGTGGACAACCAGTATAATAGAATTGATCCAGCTCCACTCACCAATCAAAGACTCCTTCAAGCCAAAACAAACAACAAATACTGCAACAATAAATTCCATCACCCTGGTAACAGCTCTTGCATAGTAGATGACATCGTCCAGGTTCTCCCAAGGCTCTGAACGTAAAAAGTCATACATGAACAATAAATACACCACTAATGAACCTATAACCTGAACTGAAAATTATTTAAAAAAAAAAAATAATTATAAATAAAAAAAAAAAAAAAAAAAAAAATTAAAAAAAAAAAAAAAAAAAAAAATAAAAAAAAAATAAAAATACGTTAACAGACAGCTAGAAATAATGACCATCAGCCAGAAATCCATGTCGAAGTACTGACAGATAAAGTAGGTCATGTACAGAGGCAGCATCCAAAGGAATGTGCAGAGGACCACAGCTTTAACATGCTTGACAATGCTGGTATTATGAGAAGCACTAAGTGCCAGCAATACAGGATCTGTAATCTCATACATGGACTGGATCAGTGAGGAAGCAACAATAAATAAAAGGATGCTCATTAAGAAGGCACGCTGAAGTGGTCGGAGCTCCAGCAAATCAGTCTGTATGGCAATCAAAAGCATTGTAAAGCCTTCTGTCCAACCTCTCATGGTATCATGATCAAATGCATCAATGCCTTGCAGATACAGCTTTGTCAGGCAAAGAATGGCACAGGATGAATAGGTGATGGTGACACACAAAGCAAGTAAGCTGACAGGTGTAGCACAGCACTCTCCCATACTGGCCAGGAGAACAACTAGCCACCCTTCCTGCCAGAGTCCTAGATTATCTGTATAGACATAGACATAAATTTGGGACAGAAACATCAAGCCCCAGAACAGAAGCAACTGAACAGGAAGAGCCATAGTTCTCCAAAAGCTCATAATTACTGGTATGATGCCAAAAGTTCTAAATGACATAACTGTGACATTGATGCCCTCTTTACAGATATCTATTATATTTCCCAAATTATTGAAAATACAAAATAGAACTAGTAAGATAGTATAGACAGAGGCGAAGTTGTGAACTAGATGTAGTTCTGTCACTGGAAATCCCATGAGTCTTGCAACCACTGGTAGAGCAAAGGCCAGTAAAGTGAACTTCACCCAATTTGTGATCTCCATAAGGTAGGCAACTATCGCCGCAATAAACAGTTGCGCTAGGACATGCAGTACAAGACGCTCAAGGTGCTTGCGATCTTCCAAAAGATGTGAGGGTCCATACTTGACTGTAATATTGTCTCTTTCTGCAGTCTCCAGGTACTCTTCATGTTCTAGTTTCTCCACTATGACATACGCCCGTGACACAACACCAGCACAGGCCATTAACCCAGCACATACCAGATATATGTAGAAGGTTACCAGATGTCTGAGGGGTAATGTGGCTATTGCTACAGCCACAGCCAAAGCTGAAAATATTGAGATAAAAATTAATGTGGCCATTGCTATAACTACAGCATGTGCTAAAAATAATCACATACAATTATTGCAGCTACTACTATGGCCACAAGAGCTAAAAATATTGAGATAAAATTAATGTAGCCATTGCTATAACTACAGCATGTGCTAAAAATAATCACATACAATTATTGCAGCTACTACTAAGGCCACAAGAGCTAAAAATATTGAGATAAAATTATTTTAACCTTTGCTATGACCAAAGAAAGTGATCAAAATACTGAGATGATAATTAAGGAGTCATTTCTTAAGCCAGAGCAAGTGCTGAAAATACTGGGATAAAATTAATGTAGCTGCTGTGATAGCTGCAAGTACTTAAATACTGAGGTAAAATATGATTTAACACAACCAGACAGCAGTTAAAAAAAAATATGAAACGAACAAAAATTCACTTGTGTGTGGGCTGTTTTTCAATCTGTGGAACCTTTTCTTCTAGGAATAATGAATAGTGAATAGTGAATGGGTGAAGACACTAGAGACAGTGAAGATGCTGTTAAGGAGAATGTTGAAAATGTTGTGGACAGAGAAGTAAGCAAATGCTAAGAAACTGAAAGTTGAATGTTTTACAAAACGACTTTTCAAAACAATAAACAAAATTTATTGACACATAAACATGAGAGTTAGAATAGTGAAGTTAGCCTTTTGTGAGAACATAACAGGCTAAAGAATTAGATGAAGACAAAGATATATGGAGAACATGTAAATAACTGGACAATAAAGAAATGATATGAACAATGTTAATATCATCAAAATATCAGATGACAGGAAGTAGAGAGTCCTGATTGCACCTATAGTTGTCAATGGGGTGAGGTAGTCAGTCCCATCCCAATCCTATTTAAAGTAAATGCGCTTTTAGGCGCATAGGGAATATGGGAAGAGCACCCATATTTTTACAGACCAATCGGCACTAGGTGGGTAATGTGATCAGCATTACGCCGAATCCTATTTAATTGCCTCTTATAGCATTTATGGAGTCTTACAGTGCATTTAAATTCCATCCTTCTCCCTAATGGAACTAAAGAACTAAAATAAATGCTCCAAGTACCATTTCTAGTGTACATGGGAGAGTTTAGTAACAGATATGGAAACAGATGCTAATTCCCCAGTCACCACAAGATGTTCAGGCTCAGAATTTTTTCTTTCTTTAGCTAACCTATAATTAATTAGAACCCTTTGATTAAAGAAAATCACCTCTGCATAATCACATATAGAATGTTTATATTCAAAAGGTTAAAACAAAAACGTGGATAAAGCTGAGAGAATAGACTTCACTGCACTTGGGTTCGAACCCATCTAGCTGTCTCTTGTAACAGAGAAGTTTAACACACACCGAAGGTATTACATAAAGTATGGTTCCTACATCTTAAATGATGACCTCCAGGGATCTCAGAAAATATTTCACTTGTGATCTGATAATGTGCTTAAGATATGAAAAAGGGTATTTACCTTAAATGCATCAACAACAGTCTAAAAATGAACTCATGACTTAGAGCACAAAGCAGCAATAAAAAGAATAAATTATATTCCCTTTTTATTTTACTTACCCAAATAATAGGCAACAGTAACAATTATCTCCACATCATCCGAGTGTAGCTGGATAGTTTTGTGTGGATTAATGCGGAACCATACTTCAATCAGAAACAGAGCTGGTACCCTTAATATAACACTGACTGCTGCTTCTATGCACTCTTGGGACAATTTCAGTGGCTGCATCTTGGCCCAAAGTTTTCTGTAAATACAAAAACAATATACATACGGATATTGATGGATTCATTTAGCTCAGTGGTTCTCAACCTTCCTAATCCTGTGACTCCCAACCAAAAAATTATTTTCGTTGCTACTTCATAACTTCAGTGATTATGTGGTTTCCGATGGTCTTAGGCGACCCCTGTGAAAGGGTCGTTCGACCCCTAAAAGAGTTGCGAGCCACTGATTTAACTATACTATTATCAAAATGTTGGTAACTTCATGTCTGTTATGTGCAATTCAAAAACAAAAGCACAAAAACAATTTTAGATATTTTAAACAACATTAAAAAGTGGTTAAAGGGGTTAGATCAACTTCATTAAACTAGGTTTTATCCCATTTGGTTTGATCTCCTAAAACAGTAGTTGCTGACCCGCTGAGAGTGCCACACAAAGCAACAAGCTCTGTCACCACAGCATCCAGGGATCTTCGAAACACCTCCACTTGCAAACAGGACAAAGCTTCCAGCTTTCAGGGTGTGAAGCAAATGACTAAACATAGTCATGCAGATTTTGAATAAAATCCTTGTATCTAAACACAACCTGGCTTTCTGGAAACAGTGCAATGAAATCTATGACTATCATATCCTCAACTTCCACTATTGCTAAGAGTTTTGGGGAGGAACAGTTTGCTGTCCAGTGCTTGCTGGAAGCAATAACAAGCAATGACAATACTATACATAATAAATAAGAGACCTTTGTAAAATAGCACTCCTGATGGTATAACTAGACAAAGCTCTTTTCTTCTTCATTTCCTCTTTCACCCCTTCAAGTCTCTGGGTATACATAAGTTTTTCTGCTTTTTGCTCTTTTGGCCGTCTCAAACATAGACACATCATGTTGCTGTGGCGTTTCTCTGATGTTATCTTTCCATTTTGTTCTTGGTCTACTTTGTCTCTATGCACTTTTCCTCTTTTAGTATATGCCTTATATGGTATGGCATCAAACGGCATTCTCTCTAAGTGAGCAAACCATTTTATTTGCTTTCATTGCATGTAATGTAGAATTGATTCTGTGCTGAAATTTTCTCTGATAATCTCATTCCGGATTTGATTTATTCTAGTCACCCCTGCCACCCCTCAGACATTTCAGTTCCATGGTAACTAATTTTCTTTTGTGGTTTCTCGTGAATGACCATGTCTGGCACTGGCAGCATAGGATGGAAATGAATATGCTCTATGTTTCTTTGTACTGACTAGGATTGTCTTATGCGTAAGAGGGTTTCTAGCTGTCCCAATACTTGGTTTGCTATACTGCATCAGATGTTTTTTTTTTAATTTCTAGACAAAGCTCACCTGAGTTTAATATCACACAAATTGTCTCTACTGTACCTAAATCATCAAGTACCGACAGAGTTATCTAATTAACTGTTTTCGTTTAACCCTATCACTACTAGAATGCTAAATCTAGTCACTTCCAGCTGTGACACAGCACTGTAAATGCAGATATATTGCAATATCTGCAGTGACCCATTCTTTAAAAGCATAGTTAAATACCATGTGAGCACTGCCGTATACTAGGAATCCTGAATCAAAGCCTATGTAGTGTTTAGAAGGCCTGGATGTGAATATATTGACTAAATATAGTATTAAGAGGGGTTTCCTTGTAAAGCCATGTAGATTAAATATATTTCTGTGAGCCTCAGTGGTAGAAATTTCAGGGTCACGGCACAATTAACCTGATGCATATTTGTTTTAGGCGTCCATTTATTGCTTCACTGTGGTTTTGTTTAATGAATGTTCTCTTTTACACATCTTTACATATATTTAAAAGAACAATTTTTAAAATGTAGATAAATAAATGTTTAAACTATTTATTAGTTATCTGTGATAAAAAAAAATTATCTTTTAAAGGATTTTTTCCAGAAATTCCCATTAGTACATAAACCCATTTGTGAGGTTAGTTTAATTGTTTTATTTTTGCTATTTACCAAGGACCAACAGATGAGATTTCTGAATAACCACAAGAGCTATGCTGGTGATGTATCTAATGAAATATATATATCTATATAAAGTGTAGTGATAAAAGAATAATAGATATATAGAAACAGATTAATGTCCCAGTGTCCCTATGTGGGTTCCTGGGCCCCACTGTGGGGAAACAAGAATAGAATCACTGCCTGTACAACAAGCATGCTGTAGAAAAAATGACGAACTTGGAACTTCCTTCGAAGTTGTAGTGCATTTGCCTGATCGTCAAGGAACTACCAACTGCACTCAAATAAGCCAATAAAATGGATGTACACAAGAAACTCAGGCCCTGGCACAAAAGCCAGTCCAAATAGATAAACAACCAGGACTTTCTGCTGGAGCTTACAACCGGTGAACAAAGAAGATGTCCCAGTGGTATGTATAATGAGGTATACATATACACAAAATTTGTTAAATTCGACATGTATTGATTGGCACTCAGAGAAGAAGTGGAAAGATAGAAGGACATACTTTACAGCACAAAAATAGAAAGCTATAGCTACCATGCTGGGAACATAAGCCATAACCTCCATATGAAGACAGCCGGACACAATAAGAACAGGTCCACTAAGAAGCATGACCAACTAGGCATCTCTAAAGTGTTCCTACAGCAAGACACTGTCCTCATTTGAAGGGGACAGGTTCGATTCCTGGCAATGTAACTATAGATTTAGATTTTCTGTTGTTTAGTGTGTCCTTTTATACTTTTACTTCTTTATGTGAGTGCCAATCAATACATGATATAAAGTTTCTTCTCTAAATTATCAAATTGTATGGTGCCATACAGCTGCACCAGCCAGTTGACTAAGAATGGCGGTAAAAGTATAACTATTATGCTTTTTTTTTTATTATATGCAACCACTGTAGCTGTGTAATAATGCAACAATAGAGTGGCATCACTTATCACACTCTTCCTTCAACAAACAACAATCCTGAGTAACCCTTTCAAGATATTTCAACAAAAATCAATGCAAAAGCATTTTGCAGTACTAGTAGTTATACTGATATATGACAAGGCAGATGTGGTCAAGACCCTTTGGGAATCAGTAGAGATAGAAGATTATTTTGGCCTGGAGAGGTATCTGGGTGTAACCACAGGGTCTGGCCAGCTCACTACACTCAGAAGAAAGGTAAGACGAAATATAACCAGATTGTGATCGATACCATCAGTACTGGAACTCTGCGCTGGCTGCTGAAGATGAGGGCGGAGCATGGATGGGAATGCCCCGAGTGCTGTGATGTCAATTCTTAACTCAACTCAACTCAGTACTAGTAAATAAACAACACACACAAAAAATACATACTTACCCACAAACAGCATCTAATCCTTAGATGTACACAGTAGCAATGATAATGTAAATCTATTTTTCAAAACATCACATTTATATAGTATGCAAATTCTAATTAGTAGTAAACGGCATCCAAAATATTCAATTGATATATAGTTGCTAAGTGACTTGTAAAAAAAAATATACTGTTTTAAGGATAAAATACAAACATTTAATAATTTCAATGCTACATTTTACTGGGACACAGCTCGGAATCCATCTTTTGTCAGATACACAATAATTTGTCTATGTGGTTAGTTGAGTATCCTTTACAGGAAGTTTAGGTGCAGAACCAATCACAGCATTTTTTTTTACTGTCTGTGGTTTTTCAAGGCAAATTTTACCAGAGGATGATTCAGGAAAGGACGATGAATCAGCAACACTGAAAAGACTACAAGAACTTCAGGTCAAAAGAGGTGTTGCCAAAGATGAACACCATACAGGTAGCCAAAGAAGAATGGGTAAACCAACACAGAACTGATGTTATCAGTCACCATACGCTGAGGAATATGATATAATGAATACTGAGGATGGGATCAAAGCGCTTATGGATTTGTCCAATGTGCAAATGAGGATAATCTGTCGATTAACTAACTAACAATGTACATTTTATGTTCTGTAGCATTTGTCACTGCTTCAAAACGGTCAGCTCTTGGTACCACTGTTGAAGTCAACTCAAGATAAATCTTCCACAGCTGGGATCGAACCCAAAACCACGGCATTATTTTATTGCCATTAAAAAGCACATTTGCAAAAAGCAACACCTGTCACAGACACCAATCTATATATGCCACTAAAATGATAATATCCCCTCTTAGAATTGACTCACATGCTTCATTAAGGCATCGTTGGATTTGATATTTTAATATCTTTCCAAGTGTGATGTTTCATAAGTAAGCACCCAAAAAATAAATCTAAACTAGTCTGCCATCTCTTTTTTTTTACATACGACTATCACTTTCCATGACAATGAATACTATGATATTACTAATATTACTATGTCCTGCTATCTTCGTCTTCTTCTCGTTCACCAGCTGTAAACTCCGGTGGAAAGTTCTGGTTGTTCATCCACTTCTGGACTGCAGTCATGTTCCAGAACCTGCGTTACGTGTGCATCCGTTTGACAGATCTGACTCATTTGTTTGCAGACTGCTGGTTCCTTGTCTCTCAGGGAGATGCACTCCGACTTCTAAGGAAGCTCCTAATTAGTCAACTCTTATGACACGCTTTTGTGTAAGCGGTGGGTCTATTTTTGTTTTCCCTATAATAGGGCCCCGGAACCCACACGGAAAGGTATTTTAATATCTTATTAATTTAATAGGCTCTGCTCCGAACTTCTACCCCCGCAGTATTGTGGCCTGAAATATCCGTTCGGGGCGTAGTCCAATTAAAACTATGCCGGCTCCGTATAACGAAACAAATGCTCTAACAGGGTCTCAGCGATATGTTACTTGCGGACCTGTTTCTTTTTGTTTCTGATTACCTGACAATTCTAAGAGATGCACGCAACACTGCAGATGATAGTAGCAGACGATAATAATAGCGTCCGTTGACACTTTCCATTGTCGAACTTTCTGCCGACGAACAAATCGCGGTTAATCTAGGATCGGCTCGGAAAAACGAAATAAATGCTCTAACAGGGTCTCAGCGATATGTTACTTGCGGACCTG